AAAGGCATTACTTCAAAAGCATGAGAAATGGTTCTATCATTGCATGTAACACTCAATTTATTTGTAATGCCTATGCGATCTATGGAGGCACCTGGAACAGCCAATTTCATTGTACCAGGCAATCTTTGTACGGACCATCCAAATTTGGCACAAAGTGCCGGGGAAACAGTGCTGTCGGTAGCACCAGTATCCAACAAGGCCCAAAGACGATGTCCTTCTATGATGATAGGAAAATAAGGTGAGCGTGAATGCTTATTAACATCCTGTGTATGAGCATGAGAATGAGACTTACACTCTGAGGAAGGACCAGAAAGAGCATCACATACGTCAGCCATTTCAACATCCTCAAGCTCCGCATAAGGAAGAGCAGGAGAAGAAGACGAAGAAGGAGACGAAGGAGTATCAGTGGAAACTGATGTGGCAGCAACAACAGGAGACGAACCCGAAGAACTAGACGAAGAATCATCCCTGCAAGAAACAGGTGCAGCAACAGACGAACTTGATGTGGCTGATGTATCCACACTAGGGGTGGAGCCACCAGGCGAAGGTACATGCAAGGCATGAGATTGGGGGCGAGAGACAGCTTTACCCTTATCACAGGATGACGAGGAACCGGAGTTCAAATCCTTGGTGTGTGAATGGGCACGAGCAACAAAAGCGCGTCCTTTACCTTTATCTCTCACGGGCTTGCCAGACCCACCAGCACCAGCAGAACGAGAACCACTGCCACGCGACACATCACCACGAGACGAACCATTGGGCACGGTTTCTTGCTTCAAAATGAGTTGCCGCTTTCGACATTCATCAGTGGCATGATTGCCTTTGCCATGCAAATCGCAAAACTTCTTGTTTTGTTCACCAGCAGAAGGAGAAGAAGCGCGTCTTTTACGATTGCCTGATGAGTGACGAGAACCAGAAGAGCCAGAGGAACCAGAGGAGCGAGAAGAGCCAGAGGAAGAAGCATGATCACTGCCACCATGAGCCAAGTTGCTATGACCAGCATGCTGTTCCACCGTAAGGGCCATACTTGAGACTTGATGAACCGTGCGTTTCGCTTCAGATGATTGCGAGGCACGTGCAGTGTTGACACGATCGGCAATGTGTGGAAGGAGACCATGAAGATAACGATTCACTGCGACTTGATCATCAGGTTGGCGAGCATCACGACGTAGCTTTTGGAAGCGAGCCGTAAACTCACTGACAGTTTCTCTCTTTCGTTGACGACACGTCATGAATAGATCCACATTACGTGCCACCAACTCAGAGTCGTCAACAGCAAATTCACCTTCGTACAAAGCGCGAGCAGCATGCCAAGAGAGATGAGGTTGATGAGCCAAGTTGTCACCAAACCACGAACGATGCTCAGGAGACAAACGGATGGGAAGAAACTTGTGCCACACTTGGTTGATGTCATTGCTGGATGCATGGATGATGTCCTCAAATACAAGTAAGCATTCTTGCATGGTGGGATAAGTATGATAATCATCACACCATTCATAGCCTGCCCATTGCATGTAAGGTAAGCCTTGAGGAATACGAGAACCAGAAGACGATGAGGATTGGGATGAGCGAGCAGGTGCAACCAAGAGAGCCATTTCTTGCATTTCTTCAAGTTCTTGTTTGAGGAAAGCCATACGTTCGCGAGCTTGAGCTTGAGCATTGGTGTCACCACTGGTAACAGCAGCAACACGATGAGCCATGGCATTACTCAATTCACGACGCAACGCGTAAATGCTGTCATGCACTTGTTGGCGAGACGAACGTGAGTCTTGAGAACCGGCTTGAGAGGAAACTTGAGGAGACAAAGGAGCAGAAGTGCCAGCCGAACCAGAAGGAGTGGAAGCAGGAGGAGAACGATCCACGTTCATGGGGGCTTGACCATTGTCGTTGGAAGGTAAGTTGGATTGAGACATAGTAGTAGAATAGAGGAGCAGAATTCACTTGAAAAAAATGTGATCGAGTGGAATAAAAATGGAATGAGATTATAAGAACGAGACAATAATAAGTCAAGTGAGACTGAAGATACCCTTTATTCAATGAAGACGTCCACTCTTTTATACTAAATGATTGATCCTGCTATAACCTGATTCTCCCACGCCCTCACACCATGATTAGTAACGATGATGGTATTCTCGATATACCCATAATCTTACGTACGCGTCTGTGCCCATGTACCTGACAGCCATATAGGATAAGATTTATGCGTGGGAGAATGTAGGTGTGACAAACATGAGATGAGAAGGAGAATTAAATGACAGCTGTGGGAACCACTTTATGATGATTAAGCTGTGTCTACGACAATGGCATCAAAGTCGGTATCGATATCGAGGAGGTGAGCAGTCGGTGGATCTTGTTTCATTGCGTGGACTTGATGGGCCGGTCTTGTAAAATCATGTGGGCAACCAGTTTCTTGCTTGTGGGTTGGTTCTTCATACGTAATTCTTTGAAACGGTCGAAAACGGTAAGCATCAGGTAACGTGTCTAATGCGCAATCTCGTGCAAAATGTCCTTCGTTTCCACAGTTGTAGCAAATGACGGGCCTTCGTTCGATGTATTGTTGTCCATAGTATCTTGTATCGTGTCTCGAATAAAAATCGTGTCGCCTGTACATGGTGGATCGAAAAAGCATCAGCTACCAATTGTCGAGCTTTCTTTTTGGCGGATGTGACCGTAGCCAATAGCAACGACGTATGATAATAAAGAAGTATTTGTAACGTAAAGAGATGATGTTTATTCATATTGTGTGGTGGGGATATTTATATGGGATGGCTATCTATGATGTTGTGGCGAAGTACTGCTGCGCCTGCTACACATGAGCTGCGCCTGCTGAGTACAAGAAGTTGATGTTGTCAAAAGGAATATTGCTGCGCCAGCGCATAATACCCCGACAACCTCAACCACGAAATCATTATCCTCATGTTCCTGTTCATCTTGGTGTCGTATTCGAATCTGTGCTGGTAATCCAATGGCCAGAATAAAGAATAGACGAATGAAGCTTTTTGCTGATTGAAGATAAGAATATAAGATATGGTTTATTCATACAAGAGAAAGGGATATTTATACTATTCTAAAAGATAGGCGCAGTATGCGCAGCATGATGATGGATGATGATACAAGTGTTGCGCAGCATGCGCAGTAAGATGTGCGCAGCAATAAAGCTGCTGCGAAGCAATGTGTAACAAAAGAAGTATCGAAGATCACGTGTGACAAAAGAGTGATACGACATTGGAAATCCTGTATGGGGTGCAAAAGATAGACATACCCCAGGGATCGATCCTACAGCCTCTTCTTCTACAGACAGGTATTCTAGTCAACTACACCAAATACCAACCAACTGGCCTGAGACAGCAGTAGTGGGATGGTCAGCCTCGAGCTGCCATTTTTGGAATCTGGATTTGTTTTTTGAAACATGGTTGTTGTTATCCACTCGTTTATCTGAGCATAGCTATTTGTTTGAGCACTGAAAATATTTCATTAAACCCTGGTCTTTTGTCTTTGTATTCGATTGTGATCATTTGAGTGAAGCAGTTACGATTGCTTTATTGTTTGGATTTGTGAAGACTCCTTGTGATTGCCGTTTTTGGACTATTTGACACCCTCGCTACAAGCCTTACTGCCCTACGTCTCATTTCGGTGGAGAAGCCGCGCAAAAACACATTACAACATTCGTTACGGCAGATTATCTATACACAACAACATCCCCAATTACATCGTTCATCCATTTGAAAATCGATCCATCCATTGATTGATTATTATGTCGACTCAAGAATCTCCTTTCGTTTCAAGCTCTAAGGGACGTAATCCGGAAACTGAACTGTTGCGCTCTTTATTAGCTAAGCCAGAACATTTTTATGGGAAGGCTAATGAAGACCCAATGGGTTGGTTAAGAAGTATTAAGCGTCTCCGTCGTGGTGGTATCTCCGATGGTAGCATTCTCCTGGTAGCTGGTTCGCATATGAAAGGCTCTGCTGGTGATTGGTGGGCCGAGCATGAGGATAACGTTACTACTTGGCAAGAATTCGAGGAGAAGTTTACTGAACGCTATGCCAGCAAGTCAATTAAGAGGGATTGGTGGCGTAGATTGGAGGCACGCAAGCAAGGAGATGAGGAGAGTGTTTCTGAGTTGGTGGAAGCTCAACAAGCATTATTCCAAAGATTATCATTGAAGGATGAACGCATGAAAATCGATTTATTGTGCAAGGCATTGAAAGATGATATTCGATTTGAAGTGGAGCGAGAAGAACCGGAGACATATGGTGAAGCAGTGGATGCAGCTAAGAAGGAGGAGTCACTACGCATCAAGTATAAAAAGGCAGCCGAAGTTGGTGGTGGTGTGTCGTCAAGCAGCACAAGTAGCGACAAGAGTGTTGTGTTGGGTGCGAAGTCCGATCGTGTATCTGAAGCAGGCAGCATGACAAGTTTTGACAAGGCATTGAACGAGATGAATGAGAAGTTTAATCGTCTTGAAATCAACTTGATGGAGCGTTTGAATCGACAAGGCGGCAGCAATACGCGTGGTGGTGGCTATGGTGGTTATGGTGGATATTCGTTGACGTGTTTTAATTGTGGGCAAGTCGGTCATAAGGCCTATCAATGCAACGAACGTGGTCAGCAAGAATCAGGAAAAGGTATGGGGCAGCAGTAAGTGGGGAGTCTGCTGCCCTACACAATTCAAGAACCTTCCCAAATACACCTACGCAACAACAAATACATCTGATACAAGGGGTCCAAGTCTGGCAAAATGGTCGTGTCCGCCCAAGATCCTCAGCATCAGGTGAAACAGCCGCACCGTTGAAGAAAAGGAGCAAAAGAAAAGTGGTGGATGATGAGGTGAATGCCATCAATTTGCCGATTGTTTCGAATCAAGTTCCATCCAATACAACAAACGACGTGACCATGAAGGAGGCGAAGAAGCGAACAAGACAGCCTGCAAGGCGATTGGAGGTGGCCATCAACAAGACAAGCATTTGGGATGCTTTGGGAGATACACAAGTGAACATGTCTTTCAAGGAATGGTTGTCAATTGATAAGCAAGCTGCCAAGGATTTGTGTGATGGTATACGATTCATTCATGGCCGAAAACCTCGCACTGCTGTATCCAAACAAGTCAACGCGGTGAATCTCGTGGAGCCGGATGATGAGGAAGAGGAGGATGGTAATGATGAGGAGAGTGGTGATGAAGAGGAGGAAGAAAAAGAGGAGTGGAGTGGGTTGGATGATGATGATGATGGCGAGAGTGTATCCGAATCGTACCTATTTGACTCAGAGTTTGAGAACGATGATCCTGAAGGCTACCACTCAGACACTTCTGTTACCCAATATCCGTACAATCCTGCATCCATGGGAGCTGCAAGGCCATTTGCTGTACAAGTGAACATCAATGGTGAAAAGGTGGAAGCAATTGCCGACACAGGAGCATCCGTATCCGTTATCAGCAAGCCTCTTGCAAAGCGATTGAATCTACCGATTAACAAGGACCTCATGTCAATCCAGCAGCTGGATGAAAGGGATACAACACCTAATGGCGTATGCGTAAACGTACCGGTGCAGATTGGTGGCAAACTACGTCGAGAGCATTGTTCAGTATTGGATCGCAAGTCAGACCTATTATTGCTTGGATTACCTTGGATGCGCGCCTATGGTATCAAGATCGATCCAACAAGCTTGACGTTATCCATTCCTTCGCAAGAGAACAAGGGTGACATAGTGGTGCAAGGGGATCTGTGGTAAGATACGTTCTCACCTAGATTTGTAGTAATAACTTTTGGTGTGTGTAACGTCGGACCCTGGTATATATATCACCCAATAGGGCAGTCAATTGTGAATCATGCGATATGTATTATATAGATGTGCGCGGTCTGTGGGACGTGCTATCGTGATTTGAAAATCGGAGGTCACACAACTGTTGTAAGGCTCATGTTCAAAGTTGATGGTGTACCTTTTCACAGGAATGCTGCTCCGGGCCGATGCCTTACAAATGTGAAATTTATATATAGTATTTAGGTGCTTCCGATCTATGCAATAACCACTTTACATGTATGTTGCAATAGTGGCTGGCGAGCGATGAGCCTATGAAAATGATTGGTTATTTTGTAATAAAAGTTGGACAAAAAGTTGGACAATGATCATTTTTGCTTGTAGTGCCTGACCTAGTTAATAGATTGTTCTCCAATTTGGTACACCGACGTCTTCCACATGTGGTAATGGATGATAATGATTTCGCGGAGTTTTGGATGGCTACAGAAATTTAGGCTGTTATATCAGATTATATGCTCCACAATACCATATACTATAATGTGCAATTCCTTTCAGATTCGATGTAGAAAACTTTTCCAAGTCCCAATTGTCCAAACATTCATCTCCGATGTAAACGCTATAAAAAACAATCATTTTGCACTTTACCCGGTATCGATGGACCACTGCATTGATGAGATATTAAAGAAACATTGTAGACACCTGTGAAGTTTTCTGTCGTAGGTCATGTGACCACGTGACCTAGCTTTTGCTCGTTCCTTCTAGAACCCTTTTCCTTTTGATGCTGACAATTGCTAGAAGCCCTTTACTAGCATCTTCCACATCATTCATAGAATACATACATTGAACATATATATATCGTGAACATCCTTAGCAATAAAAGATTATCACTTATCATAGCAACACCAAAAGTTATATCATTGGCCACTGATC